TAAACAAAAACTAGAGATAGACAAACGCGACCCATTCTTGAGAAAGGATACCCACAACTCAAACACAAAATTAAAGCAAGCAACAAAAAATAAAGCAAACCAAATACAAGAATTTTAAAGTGGTTCGGCCCAATCAATTTAGCCTACATCCACTATCCACTCAAACAATCTACTAAGCAAAAGCTTACAACTGTGCAATTTTTAGAAGAGAAAAATTGCAAACTCTTTACATTATCCCCAAAAGCCCAATTATACCCTTAATAACAGCCCACAATGACTATTCTTTTGGTGTCTATTTTATACTTTTTGAGATACTTTAAAATCTCAATCTACTAGTCTATTTAAAGGGGAGAGTCCCTTTGTAACTCTTATTCCCAAGCAATATGGGATTCAAGGCACAATCCCAACACCTATGAGACCTAGATAGGATTCCATTAAGCTTAATAGACTTTGAACTATTAACTTTCAATTTGCTTTTGTTTTTATATTTCATTGCTTACCCCCATGATCATGCTCTGTAGCTATCATAACCAATGTTTGCATTTTCAGCACTTGTTTTGGTTTTCATAGAATTGGCACTTAGAAAGAGTAAGCTTTAATATAAAAGACAATAAAAAGAAATAGCAATGTTTTTAAACTTTGTCAATTCTTAGGCCCCCACACTACTATGGAATGTCAAGGTTATTTTGGTCGTGTCGCACTTTTGTTCCTGTAGTGTTGTAGTGTATTACTGATGAGTGGTGAAATGATATATATATTCCGTGATTTTATGGGTAGATTGTATGGAATTCATGACTTTAACGAATTATTTTTATGCAAGCTTCTTTATATATTTCTATTTTCAAGAATCACGGGTATGTGTATGAGTTTCAGGTTTTTAGGTGGAAAAGTGATGATTTTATGCCCACACGATGGTTGAAGGCCTTGGATGTGCTAAGAAAGAGAAACCAAATCATCAAGAGGAAGAAAAATGTGAAACAACTAGACCGCAAAAGAGTGATCTGGGCAGAAAGTTTATGTTGCGGCGTGAAGAATTCGGCACCGCAGCGAGAATGAGTTTTATGGTTTGCGGGAGGATTCGGCGCTGCGGAACCATAAAATCACACCACGACGTGGATCGCGAAGAAAAGAAAAATCTCACATTTTCCAACTCTGACCTGAACTTGTATTTTCCCAAAAACACCTCTAGCAAAGAAAAAGTATAAACAGGACATTGTAATTTATTTTAGGGATTCCTTTTAACCAAAATTAAGAGTTACTCTTTAGCAAGAAAGAGAAGGAGATTCTTCCTAGGGTTGTTGATCATTCATGCTTTTGGGGGAATTGAGGTTTGCTTTCTTTAATGTTAATGTGTAACTAAATTCTTCTCTAGGGATCCAATGTAGCCTAATTGGAAAGCTCTATGTGTAAACATATATTTAAGGTTATCAATTCAATGAAATTCTGAATTCATTCATGTATTTATTATATATTTAATTTTCATTATTGTGTAACGACACTTACTGTGAATTATTAGGTTGTATGTGTTGAGATTATTGAATGAATGATTAGTATTCTATACATACGCCCTGACAGAGTATTAATAGGTTCATGATTTCTTGAATAATTAGTGTTTGTGCATACACCCTGACAGATGTGCCTTTATTCGTGATTTCAAGTGTTCTTGTGTTTAATGGGTTTTTAATTCATTAGGCTAGACTATACGCCCTAGCTAGTCTTGTGTTAAAGATACTAGGTTAATCCCAAAAGTCTTACGGTAATACCTTGATTTAGTGACTGTGAACCCTAGAGAGTGAATTGATAAACAATAGATAGATGGTTGACATAGAGCTAGACCTGGCAAAATGGGTTCAGACCCGTGGGTCGACCCTTACCCAAGTAAAAAATATAGGGTACGAGTCTACTACATTACACTCATTTTTTCTAGACCCGTACCCGGCCCAACTCGTTTTAACAGCGGGTGAGACAAGTATGATAAGAGCTTGAAAATACATATTTTGTTAGTGATTCAATTGGATTATTTGTGGAAAAATGTGTTTAATTTTTGAAATTTGAGTTAATTATTTCATAAATACCTTTTATGGGATCACGGCATGTATTTTGAGTATTTTCAGGTTAAAATGAGAAAGTTGTGACGTGTTGAAGATGGGACTTAAAACCTAGAAATTTGTCAAGATGAGCATGCTTCAATGTTTCAATCATAACTTGAGCTGTAGAAATATGAATTTGATGATTCTTGTGGCGTTGGAAAGTTATTCAAAGAGCTACAAAGTTCATGTTGATGACTTTGCTAGATTATGAAGATTCCAGACTCTTGGGACAAAAAGAACGATCGCCACAGCGACCATTTCTGTCATTGCAGTGATGGATCACATGCCTATTTGGGTTATTGTATTTTCCTAGTCCAAATCTGAATGGTTTAAGGCATTAATTCTTTCCTGATCAACTTGCAAACCCTAGCACTATAAATAAGGGTCTTTAATTAGTTTTTAGGAAGATTAGAGAAGGAGAAAGAGTGGCTATTATTTTGGAGATCGAAATTCTTGTAGTTTTTGTCACCAATTAGAGAAGTTTTTTCTATTTTTCTTTCTTGAACTCATGTTTGTTAATACAATGGTTGTTTTTATTACTACAATTATGAACTAAATTCCTTTTCTAAGGCTAAAGATGTAGCCCAATTTATGAATATGTGTTGACTTTATTGTTGCTAATTTTAATTGAGCATTAATTCTAAGTTTTATTATTGTGTGTAATGCTTTCAATCCTTAAGGGCCCGAGAGTTGAATGATTTGATGGGTTGGGTTGAGATTGAGAGATGAAAGCTGATTAGTCTAAGGTAATATAACCATAGATTGAGCGAACGCTAGAGATAGGTTACCGCGATCTGTGAGGCTTTGGTAAATTCCATAAAACTTAATGATCTCTTAGTTTCTAAATCCACTTTAGAGATATTTTGAGTTGTTGCTTAAGGGTTAATTCGCTAGTTGCTCGAGAGAACTTTAGTGAAATATTAGGGAGTTTGACATTTAGAATAAACTTAATTAGGTTAGCAATAATTGTCAATACATAGGATTAAATTGGTGTGAAATCTGTGCCCTAGGTTTAGTCTTACTGATTTTTTTAGCAAAGTATTAATAGAATTATGCTTTTGTTTACTTTTTAGTTTGTTTTATTTTTCATTAATTCATTCTTAAAATTCGGTTTCATCAAATAGCAATAAAATATACTAGTTTGGTACTTGGTAGGTAGTTCTCTTGGGATTCAACACTTGTTTACTCGAGCATAACTACTTGTGCGATTTCATAAACTTGCAAATAGCCTGTCGAGTTTTTGGCGCCGTTGCCGGGGAATTTTTTTTTACCAATATTAATACGAAATATTTAGTTGCTAATTTGATTTGTTTTATTTTTGCTTATAAATTAATTTTTATTTTATCTTCTTGTGTTTGTTTCTTTTATTTAGATCCTGGAAAGCTTACGTTCAAAAAGTGGTGGTGATCTTAATCCTTTTGATTCTGAAATCAAGAGAACGACCAAATAGTTGAGGAAACAAAAGAGGCAAGCCAACTTAGAAAAATCAATGGCTAAAAGGAGAATTATAAATCCCAATGTGGAAAATCAAGAGAATGAGAATGAGGATATCACAAGAGGCAATGCAACTGGTGGAGCGGTAGTGGTTCAAAGAGCATTGAAGGACTACTCTAGTCTTACTGTTGATGGGTGCTATTCTAGCATTAGGAGACCACTAGTTCAAGCGAATAATTTTGAGATCAAGCCAACAATTATTCAAACGATTAGTAGTTGGTCCAATTTGCAGGGTTGCCTAGTGATGATCCCAACTTGCATATTGCCAATTTTTTGGAGTTATGCAACACATTTAGGCATAATAGAGTATCCAATGGTGCAATTAAGCTAAGACTTTTCCCATTCTCTCTTCGGGATAAAGCTAAGGCTTAGTTGATTTCTTTTCCATCTAAGAGCATCACGACATGGAATGAGTTAGCTCAAGCGTTCCTCACTAAATATTTTCCACCTTCCAAGTCTACCAAGCTGAGAAATGAGATTACCAATTTCTACCAACAAGACTTGGAGTCATTGTATGTAGCATAGGAAAGGTATAAGGATCTCTTATGGAGGTGCCCCCACCATGGTTTGTCAATCTAGTCACAAGTGTAAACGTTCTACCAAGGGTTGCCGCCAAATCTTCAAGCCATGATAGATGCTACAAGTGGAGGAGCCTTGAACAACAAAACACCAGAGGAAGTGTACAGTTTGATTGAAGTGATGGCGAACAATAACTATATAAGGACTTCGGAGAGAACTTCAACAATGAAATCAGCGGGAGTGCATGGAGTTGATGGTTACACTACATTGGCTGCTCAACTTTCAAACATCCAAAAGCAATTAGGTAATGTACTAAAGATAAATGCAATAGAATCCTCTTCTCTAACATGCGAACTTTGTGCAGGAAATCATTCATCCAAGGATTGTCAAGAAGGGAATCCGTTTGCTCAGCCTGAACAAGCTAATTACGTTAATAATTTCCAAAGGGGGCAAGGGAATCCATATTCCAACACATACAATCTGGCATAGAGAAAGCATCCAAACTTCTCATGGAGCAACAACAATGAATATAAACAACCTTTTGGTTTTTCAAGCTCAAGTGCCAAAATCTAACTTGGAGAGTGTGCTTACCAAGTTCTTTGAAGAGACAAACAAAAGAATGAAATCCCTGCCCAAAATTAGTCAACCTCTATTAGAAACCTTGAGACTCAAGTGGAGCAGATCCATAACATATTAGCGGGAAGAGTTCAAGGAGTTTTGCTGTGCGATACAAAGAAGAATCCTAAAGAACAAGTGCATGTAATCGCCTTGAGGACTGGAAGAACCTTGAAGGATTTAAAGGATGAAAAACGAAAGTAAGAACAAGAGAAAGATCTTAAGAACGAGTAGAAAAGCAATCACCGCGACGATCGTGAAGATGAAGAGAAGATCGTCGTCATGAAGAACGATCGCCGCGATAATGAATCTGGTGGCCACGACAATTTTGAATTAGCTCCCAATTCGTCAGAAGTTTGCACTGATCGCCACAACGAGGAAAATGGTAGTCGTGGCGAGTGTGAATCTGAGCAGAAAGCTCCTTCAAATCATGCAATCGTTCCGTACCCACACCGTTTGAAGAATCAGAAGCTTGACAAGCAATTCGGTAAGTTTATTGATATGTTTCGAAGTTTGCACATTAATATCCCTTTTGTTGATATGTTAGAACAGATGCCAAAATATGTGAAGTTTCTGAAGGAGATCCTCACACATAAGAGAAAATTTGAGGAACATGAGAAAGTCATGTTAACAGAGGAATGCATCACACTGATTCAAAAGAAACTACCACCTAAACTACGAGATCTAGGGAGTTTTACTATCCCTTGCATTATTGGTAGTTGTTATTTTGATAAGGTTTTATGTGATTTTGGGGCAAGTATAAATTTAATGTCATTTTCTATTTACAGGAAACTTGGATTGGGAGAAGTGAAGCCAACCACTGTGTCTCTCTAATTAGCTAATCGATCAATAACATATCCTAAGGGGGTGGTAGAAGACGTCTTGATTAAGGTAGATAAACTGATTTTCCTAGTATATTTCATAGTGCTAGACATGGAGGAAGATAAGGAAATACCTTTAATTTTAGGACGACCTTTTCTAGCCATGGGTCGAACATTGATAGATGTCCACCAAGGGAAATTAATCTTAAGGGTAGAAGATGAGCAAGTAGAGTTTGATTTTTTTGACTCCATGAATCGTCCATCTAAAATAGACACATGTTTTGAGATTAATGTCTTCAACCACATAGTGGAGCAGAATTTTGAAGAAAGCTACCCCATCTCCCCCTTAGAGAATTGCTTGATGAATTCTAGAGATCATGAGGATGAAGTTGATAGTGAAGGGATAAGAGAGTGTTTAAGATACTTAAATGCTCTACCACCCTTACTTCGTCCTGAAGCTAAAACAATCAAAGAAGTTGAAGCCTTAGTATCTCAGTCCACTTCACCAATCGAGAAGCCACCTACACTTGAGTTCAAGCAACTACCATCTCATTTAAGGTATGCATTCTTAGAAGAGGATAAATTTTTTTTTCAGTCATTATTAATGCTTCTTTGAATGTTGTAGAGGAAGAAAAGTTGTTGCGTATATTGAGGTAATAAAAGAAGGCCATTGGATGGACAATTACAAATATAAAGGGTATAAGTCCCTCAATTTGCACACACAAGATCCTAATGGAGGAGAGCTGTAAGCCTACCATTCAACCACAAAGAAGATTGAACCCATCAATGCAAGAAGTGGTCAAGAAAGAGGTATTAAAGCTTTTAGATGCTGGAATTATATATCCAATTTCGGATAGTGCATAGGTAAGTCCAATCCAAGTAGTGCCAAAGAAGGGAAGAATGACTATTGTCCGTAACGATAACAAGAAGCTGATTCCAACATGAACAGTCTCGGGATGGATAATATGTATTGACTATTGCAAACTAAATTTCGTGACTCGTAAGGACCACTTTCCCTTACCATTCGATCAAATGTTAGAGAGGTTAGCTAGCCATGAGTTATATTATTTCCCAGATGGATATTCAGGCTACAATCAAATTGCTATAGCGCTAAAAGATCAAGAGAAAACAACTTTTACGTGCCCATATGAAACATTTGCCTACCAAAGAATGCCTTTTGGCTTGTGCAATGCTCCTGCAACTTTTCAATGTTGCCAGATTTCAATTTTCTCTAATATGGTTGAGAAGTCCATTGAAGTTTTCATGGGCGATTTTTCTGTTTTTGGTGATTCTTTTGATAATTGTTTAACTAACCTGTCTAATGTTTTGTAGAGATGTGTTGGTCCTAACCTGGTGTTAAATTGGGAAAAGTACCATTTTATGGTATGAGATGGAATTGTGTTAGGTCATCGCATATCCGTGGATGGAATTGAGGTAGATCGAGCAAAGATTGAAGTCATTGAGAAACTACCACCTCTTAATTCAGTGAAGGCTGTTAGAAGTTTCCTAATACATGCGGGTTTTTATAGGAGATTCATACAGGACTTTTCTAAAATCTCTAAACCTTTATGTGATTTATTAGCTAAGGATGTTCCTTTTAATTTTAGTCAAGAGTGTTTAGATGCATTTGAATGTTTAAAAGCAAAATTAATCTCTGCTCCATTATTGTTGCGCCTGATTGGGGACTACCTTTTGAACTCATGTGTGATGCAAGTGATTATGCTATAGGGGCTATTTTAGGACAGTGAAAAGGTAAGATTTTGCATGTGATTGATTATGCTAGCAAGACTTTAACGAGACCACAATTAAATTATGCCACTACTAAAAACGAATTTCTAGCAGTAGCATTTTCTATTGATAAATTTCATTCTTATCTGCTATGTACCAAGGTTATTGTATACACTGACCATGCTGCATTGAAGTATCTCCCAGCAAAATGAAATTCCAAGCCAAGATTGTTGCGATGGGTATTGCTCCTACAAGAATTCGACTTGGAAATCAAGGATAAGAAAGGAATGGAAAATCAAGTGGCTGATCATCTAGCTCAATTAGAGTCCAATGAAGAAGTTCAAGAGGAAAAGAAGCCAATCAACAAAAACTTCCTAGATGAGCAATTATTCGCCATTCAAGAAGGGCCATGCTTTGTAGATATTGCTAACTATTTGGCGTAGAAAGTTGTGCCCCCTAGAATGAACTCCCAAAGACAAAAGATTTTTTTTGTAGATTTAAAGTACTACTTTTGGGAGGACCTGTCTTTGTACAAACATTGTGCTGATCAAATGATAAGAAGATGTGTGCCAGAGGAAGAGAGGGCGAATATTCTTCGTCATTGTCATTCAATGGAAGTTGGCGGCCATTTTGGTTTGACAAAGACCGCCGCTAAAGTTCTTCAATCAGGATTTTTCTAGCCCACTCTCTTTAAAGATGCTTTTAATTTTGTTAAAAGTTGTGATGAATGTCAACGGGTTGGGAACATATCTAGGAGAAATGCCATGCCTCTAAATAATATCCTAGGAGTAGAATTATTTGACGTGTGGGGCATAGATTTTATGGGACCTTTTCCTTCCTCATATTCTAACCGTTTTATTTTGGTTGCTGTAGATTATGTTTCAAAGTGGGTGGAAGCTGCAGCACTGCCAACAAATGATGCTCGCGTGGTTATGAAGTTCGTAAAGAAGAATATATTCTCAGGGTTTGGCACACCAAAGGCCATTATCAGTGATAGCGATTCTTACTTTTGCAATCGCCAATTTGCAACATTGTTAAGCAAGTATGGGGTTACACATCGCATTGCTACTCCTTGTCACCCTCAAACTAGTGGCCAAGATAGGGAGCTAAAATGGATCTTGTAAAAAATGGTAAGCACTTCTTGAAATGATTGGGCAACCAAGCTTGATGATGCATTATGGGCGTATAGGACGACATTCAAAACACCCATAGGAATGTCACCCTATAGGATGGTTTATGGTTATCACTTGCCAGTGGAGTTAGAACATAGGTCATATTGGGTAGTGAAGTTTTTGAACTTCGATCTACAAGTGGCAGGAGCAAAACGATTACTGCAACTCAATGAGATGGAGGAATTTTGAAATAATGCATATGAGAATGCCCGAATCTACAAAGAAAAGACTAAGCAGTGACACCAAAAACATATCATGAACAAGGAATTCAAGCAGGGGGACAAAGTGCTGTTATTTAACTCAAGACTACGACTTTTCTTTGGAAAATTGCGCTGAAGATCGTTTGGACCATTCATAGTTCATTGCGTGTTTCCACATGGGGCGATAGAGGTTCACCACCCGACGAAGGGAACATTCAAAGTAAACAGCCAAATATTGAAACCTTATATTAAGAATGGGAATGAAGACGAGAGAGAGTTTCAATCTTTCTTCAAAATTCTCGTACGACAAACAGTAGTCGAGCTTAAGACTTTAAACAAGCGCTCCTTGGGAGGCAACCCAAGATCTTATTTTCTTTTTAATTTTAGTTCTTAAATTTTAAATTTTAAATTTTTTTACAATTTTTGTATTTTTTTTTTATGATGAATTTTATTTTTTTTAGACATAGAAAATTTGATTTTCTTTTTTAAGTCTGCAGTAGAACACATTCAAAGTGCCCAGCAACAATAAAAGTATGCTCGTCGCGGCAACATATGAAGTCGCTATAGCGAGCGTCATTCTAAAACACGCAAATACGGAGAAGCACGCTCGCCGCAACGAGACTTTCCATAGCCGCAACGAGCATCATAATTCTACATACAGGCTAAAAACAATGCTCATCGCAGCAATTATTTATTGTAGCCACAGGGAGATTCACTTGCACATGCACACGACGAGTAGCATGCTCGCCATAGTGAGCACACAATTAAAACGCGAATTCACGTTTATATCATTGAAATTCGTCAGATCCTACTTCTCTTTTCTCTCAAACTCTCATCACCTCACCATCTCCATCTAACATCTCTAAATCTCATCATCACCTTCCCTCTTTTCCACTTAATCTTCATAAAAATTTCACTACTAATCTCTATCTCATTTCAATTTTTGCATATTCAAGAAACAATCCCACAAATTTACACAAGCTCAAAGTTAGGGTTCCAAAATTGGGGATTTTACGAAATTGAACCAATCCACACAAATTCAAGGAAAATTTGCATAGAATCAGGTTCAAGTAAGTATCTCTCACCCATTTTGCATTGTGTTATTGGTTGTTGAAGATTGGAACACTTGTTTAGCATTTTCGTGGGTCATTGTTTATGCTTGAAGAACTGTGTGATTGAAACTGGGTGTTGTAGTTGTTAATTTGATTGATTGCATTGATTGAGTGAAGAAATTGTGTGTGGATTGGAGTTTGTGGTGACTGATGTTAGGAGCTGTAATTGTGATTCAATTGATTGTATTGGTTGAGTAGAAAATTGTTGTGATGGCACCAAAGAGAAAGCCAGGAGGAGATAAGAGAGAAAAAAGAAAAGGGTAAGCTTCCAATGATGTCCGATTTGTTAGTCAGGCTGCCAAGGAGAGATATGAAAATTTTGCAAAGAAACCTAGTGGGTTTATTGAAGAAAGAAGGCTAGTGTTTACAGAGAATGTTAGAGGGATCAATGATGTAATTATGCTTTGGGTTGGCCGACGTTTTGCAAAGAACCTCAGGCTCTTGCTGTTGCCTCCATAGTAAAAGAATTTTATGCCAACGTTCTTGATAGCGTTAACGAAAGGACAATGGTGAGAGGCAAGGAAGTGGTATTTATTGCAGCCGCTATTAATGAGTTTTATGGGCTGCTGCAAGTTGAAGTAGATAAGGATGACTACGTGACATACAAGCAGGAAGTAGATTATGACGCGGTGATTAATTTTCTAACGGAAGGGAAAACTACATGGTTCATTACAGCTGGAGAACACATTCATTTTGAAAGTAAGTTTTTGGACTCAATTTCGTGCATTTGGTTATATTTTGTTTGCTCTAGATTGATGCCCTCAAAGCACATAAGCACGATTAGCAAAGCTAGGGTGATTTTGATGTATGCTATCCACCACAAGATGAGGATGAATATGGGCAACATTATTTTTCATGAGATTCTCCATTTGGCAAAACATAACAAGACAGGTTTTTACTTCCCTCAATTGATCACCAAATTTTGTATGCAAGCTCAAGTGCCTTTGAATTCTGAAGAAGTGCTAATCCCACAAGGAGCGTGTCTTACAAAGCAATTTCTGCAAAATCTCACCAATGGGGGCAAAGTGGAAGGATCCAAGACCAAAGCATCTTCATCAAAGAAGCCATCCAAGAAAGATCAATTGACAAAGATGAATGACACTATAGATAGTTGAGAAAGCAACAGAATCGTCAAGAAGCTTGGATGACTTGGATGAGTAGGCAAATGAGGGTCCAATATGAGATGCAACAATTGCAACTTGCTCATGCTGGGATAGTAGCGCTAGAGTGTAAATGGATTGATTTTGTGTATCCATCGGATGAGGAGGATGGCGACACTTCTGATGATGATTCTGAGGAGAGTATGGAGGAGTGGGACTGTGTCACTGTTGGAGACCTAGAGTTTTATTTTGTTGTGTTTTTGTTTGTTATTTTCAGTGTTAGTTTGTTTCCTTTTTCTGTACTTGCATTTTATTGATGTTTGTGTTAGTTCTGTCTTTGTGAATTGTTTAAGTGTTTATTTCATTATATTTATGGTTTGTTGATGCTCTTTATATCCATTTTTTTCTGCATAACAATGGTGGCTGACAAGGTCCTTTTAGTTTGATTTTGATAAAACAAATTTTGGCACACATGACACAACAAACTGGATAGCTTTATAACGTTGAGGAATGTGGTAACGTTTTTCTTTCCTTTTTCCTTCTCTTAATATTGAGGACAATGTTGATTTTAAGGTTGGGGGTAGGAATTTAATTTTGAGAAGATTTTTTTTTTTTTTTTTTTTTTTGTTTTGTTTTTTTTTGGATATGGATATAGGGAGCAGATTTTTTTTGGTGAGTTTTTCTCTTGGATTAATTTACATGTCTATGATAGGAATATGATTGCAATAACATGTAACAAATAGAGGACATTAATTTTTGCCTTTAATTACTGATGATTGTGAGTGTTAATGACATTTATTTGAGACCCTAGAGGTTTGTGGATTGAAAGCGGTTAAGTTTACTTACTTAGAGACGTTTTATGTGTGAATTTTTCGTGGACATTTTTGCAATCTCAACAAACTCTAGAACTCATTTGATAACTACTCGAGGTGAAATCCTAGAGTTCACAGTGCTTAGGAAATGATTTATGCTGTTTTTGGACCGATTGAGCCTTTCAAGCAGACCTTTTTTATCATCATCACTAGTTAACCCTTTGAGCCTTTTTAAACACAATTTAGCCTTGTTTTTCTTTCTTTGAACTTAATTTTTACCCTACCCTAATTATGAGCCTGAAACACAATCTCACCCATTTTATTTTTAAAAGAATTAATTGTAATTCAAGCTTATTACGAGTATTATTGAGGAGGTTGTAGTGTTGCCACAACCCATGTTTATGCAAAGAAATTGGTTGGGGGTTGTCGAGTGCTTGTAAGATCAAGGTGGGGATGTGTGTGTTTCTCTACTTTATTGTTGTTAAAAAAAAAAAAAAAAGAGAGAGAGATAGAGAAATCTGAAAAAAAAAATTGTTGAAAAAAAAAAGGAAGAAAAGAAAGTGGGCATTGAAAAGCATTATGAAGATGTAAAATTATGCATATGGGAATATTTTAGTGTCGAAAAGAAAGAGCTCGATAAAGGTTGGGAAGTTGCTGAGTGAAAAAGGGAAGTGTTTTTGTATAATAGTAATAAGAATGAATGAAGATTAAGTCTCTTAATTTTATTTTTGTTAAATTCCCTTTTCATTCTTTCATGAACCCATACCCTGGCCTAACGTTACAACCTTTACAAAGACCTATTGATCCAATGTAACATCTGCTGAAAACTAGTACAATGCATGCATAATAACAATATAAAATTGGGATAATACAATGAGCTGGGACAACAAATTATAAACTGCTCACTTCTTGCTCTTCTATAAAACCTGAACAACTTAAAGATGCTCCTAACAAACCCACCATTAAACCTTCTCAATTCACTCCAATTCATACTCAGAGCTTTCAGTTTTCATGGCTGGTCTTCATATTATTTCTTCGCACTGATTCTTCTACCCTCGTCCACCAGTGTGAACGGAGATCACAACACCAAGAACCCAATTCTTTCATTTGAAACCCCAAAGAAAGATAATGAGATGACAATATTCAAAAGCCCCACAAAGCAACAGTAATTCGTCACCACATTCCGAAGAACAAGCTCCATCAACCCCCTTGCATTGTCAAAGATGAGATCATCCAAAAAGCTTAATCATATATTACTAATCACTAGATTTCACCACCTAAAGATTATTGTCGAGACTTTTGATAGATTTGAGGTGGTCTTGACTCCTCACCCAATAAGTCTTTGTTGAAGAGAGAATTACCTCTCTATTGACTAGTAGGTTTGAGCGTGCTTAATCGGTGTGAAACTCCAATAGTTTTTTCCAAACCCTGCTTCATAATTGATTATATCTACCTTCTTTCTTCTTTAGTAAAAGAGTATATTGGGAAATATGTTTAGTGAACGAGCCATAATTGATTGTAATTTTTAAATATTCTAATTTATTGCATGAGAAAGAAGAGGTAAAATGTTTTCCAACTCATCTGTTTATGCTTAAACAATTGATTTAATCTTTAATTAAAGCAATGTGAAGTTATGCCTTCAAACTTATTATTAATTGACACCCCAAAAATAAGACAATCTTTAACCACTCCTCTCACATGTTACAGTATGATCCATGTTCAACTTCC